TATTTCATTTAAAAAGATATTGGGAGGGTTAAGGTAATTCGTCATTTCTACATATATAATTAATTTTAAAATATACTCAATATTTATACATATTAGATATTATATAATTTAAATAAATAAATATATATGTGTGTGTGTGTATGTATATATTTAGTAGATAAGTAAGTGCTTTAAATTTAAGTAATTAATTAAGTAAATTGTTGATTGATATATATATTTTAGAAAAAATTTAGTTTTTACTTTAAACATTAAATGGACAATTATATGCATGTAACGTAAGAATGAGAGAATTGATAAAAAAATACATTGTATATTATATTAATTATAATATTCGTTATAAAATAATCATTAGATTATATAATACGTAAATGAATTGCTCGGCAATAACAGAATAGATAATCGATACTATATGATACATATTATGTGAAAAGAAAGTTGTAAGATTTAATTCGATTACTCTTTTGTAAAGTTTTAAAAATATGATATAACTTATCTAAACAAGATAAAATGTAGCACAATATATCAAAAGTAAAAATAAATGCTAGACATTAATAAATATAAAACTTTATAAATTATATGTACACATGTTATTTGTTATACAACATATAATTTACAAGATTGTAATAAATTATGTTTCTTTTAACTTTAATCAATTGATTACGATATCACGAAATTCAATTAAAATTGTAACAGGGCAATATTGAAATTTCTTTCCGATTAATATTTTGTAAGAAGTTCAAGTTAATAATTATACGTGTCTTTCTAAAATTTCTAAGCGCCGACTGACTCTATTAATACTTATTATTTTTATTTTATCTATCATAAAAAGAAATTTTTAATTCTTTCGAAGGAAAATAATTTGCAATTAATTCTATCCCAAAATTAAATACAAATATTTGTTATTTAACAAAAATTTATATTTACATTTAGAACTGTTTAATTTTATTATCAATTTTAAGAATTTATAAAATGAAAAATAAGGTTTTCACATAATCGTCTCCTAAGACTGAGAAAATCCTTAAAATTTAAACTACGTTTGTTGATGAAGAGAACATAAGTTTGCGACGTAAGTGTTTATTATGAAATCGAATGACAATATTGAATATATCTATGCCTTGATTGTTTTTAATTTTTAGCGTAATCTTAAAATTATATCAATTTCATTTTTACGATGGTTATAATATAAAAATGTTTATCGAAGGGAATCCTAGTGGTGCAGGTTTATTATTAATGCAATAACCATACTGGCTGTGCACGTTCACACTTTTTAATAATATAAAGTGGTTAATTCGATTGAACTGTCGAAGATAATTTATTCATGCTTAGTTTGACATTGTTTAATGAACAAAAATTATATCGATTGAAAAGAGAATATTTTTTTAATTTTCTCTTTATTATTTTACTATATGCAAATAAAATATAATTAGACAGCGGATTCGTCTGATAAATACTTCAATCCTTAAAAACAAGATCCGTGTAATAATTTAACTAGAATTTAAAATTAAAGTGCATTGAAATGGAAAATGAATTTAAAATTTGATTCGCATGTATTAAAACGATTTCTTACTAATTAAATATTTTTCAAGAATTTACCTAGAAAATTCCTAGTCCATACTTGTATATTTTCTTCTCTTCTTGCGATACGAATGCATCTCATGCACAAAATGTACTTCTTCTATTGTTAAGACTTATAGTCGATTATTAAAGTAAATCGAAAAACACAGGTTACAAATTAATGCATAGAAAGTAAATGAAAATAAAAAAATATTGGAGAGCATTGTGTGAAAAAAATATACACGGTAATTAAATGTAATAATTGGTAAGAGCTCCAATTAATTAATTTTTTGCGAATGCATTATTACGTTTGATGTACAATTATTTTTATAACGTAAGAATAAATATATTTATCAATCAATTTATATTGTAATTATAATTGTAAAAAATAGATTTTCATTCGAAATTTTTGGCAATAGTAATTAACATAGATAAATTTATGATTCTATTGTAAATATTTTAATTTTTTGTGGCTTTTTTATCTTTTATAATATAAAGTATAGCCAGTATTACTATTATTTATATTCCGTTTAAGTAGACATTACATTTAAAACGTTTTATTAAACGTAATCGTTCGAATATTATTAAATTTAACATTTGAAATTCATATAATTTATTAAAATAAAACAAATAACGGTAGTACTATGATTTATTTAAAAATGTTTCTACAATAATAGAGTGAAACGGAGATTAAATATAAAAATAATCTTACCATAGTCTAATGACCATTTATCTCCAAATTATTATTTTAAATGAAAAAGCTAAGCAAAACTTTTAATTATAATAAGCTATAAGATGTGCGTAGAACGCACTACTTAAGTAAACCGATTAAAGATTTGTAAGGCGTAAAAATTATGACGATTATTCCATACTTATATAATATATTTACAAGTGTTTATACATTTGTGCTATTAAACATTATCGCATATATCACCAGGTTAATAATAAGTCCAATATGGTTATGTTGCATGGATGGTAAACTAGTTAACCGGAGGCCCGAGATGTCATTGAATAGGATAATATTCAAATATATATATATATATTTGAACGGTTATCAATGGAAGTACATTAGATACTCGTGTATTGTAACTGCGATACCGCACTCGGATTTAAAGTGAAATTGCTAAATAAACAATATATGTATTATTATTATTAATTATCTTACACGTTTTTGTTCGATAGACGATGAGGAATTGTCTACCCATCGCTATAGTGCATAGTTGCTTAACATTAATTATTTAAAACTATTGTATTTACTCAATTTGAAAGTAAGTATCGATCTGCAATAATAAATATCGATGAGTAAATGACAAAATTGTCGAATCTTTGTGCATGGAAATTTTTACATATTCAGCATCGTTTTTAAAAAGATTTATCGACGATTTTAACGCTTTCAACGTGTCAAATTTTTACATCAAACGAATCTAATCCAATGATGTACCCACAATTGATTTTATTATTAAAACGAATTATCATTAATTTAAACTTGACTATTAAAGAAGTTTAACGAACTTAGAAAAAGATGTATAAAGTTTTTATGCGCATCATTACCAAAGGTTAAACGTAACATCAGAAATATATTCATAAATGTCCATGTAAAGCAATGAATTTTATGGCGACAATTGTACTCGCTATATTGCTTTCCAGTAAAAAATCTTCGTTTCGTCGATTGTTCAGATATAATAAAGTGAAAGTGTAAGAAGATATTGAAAAATTTATCAAATAAATTGAAAAGTAATTTAATTTTGAATGAATTCTCTTATCCGAGAACTCGGATAACGATAGACAATTTGTTTCTAAAATTAATCTTTCGACAATAATGCTTTAAGTTCATTAACAATAGCTCATTAAACGTCCGTATAACGTAATTCCTCGATACAAAGCTCACCCTTCCCCGCCCCAAAGACACCGCCCGTATAATTCCATTTATTTATATTACCATAATTACGTTTTATTGGGCATAAAATTATTATTAATCATTAAAATTTGACCGAATGCAATAATCGCCCGTAAGTATAATCCACAGCAAAGCTTATACATTACTTTTAATATTACTTTTCAATAATTCTCATTACAATATCCATACTATGGCTTATCCCGTGAAAACATCGATTCCCCCTCACTCGCAGTAAAGGAACGAAATAATGCGCTGAACGAGGCCAACCTTACGATTAATTTGCATCGAAAATCGAGAGCGCGAATGTGAAAAAACTCACGGCTGCTGTCGTATTCGATGCCATGGAGCTCCTCGAAGCAGGGCTGTACCGCCAGACTCCCCACCCTCGTCCTTGGCCAGCATAGGAGACTGTCCCAGGAGGCTAGGCAATTCGGTTCAATTTCGGCAATTTCCTCATCCAGCCGCCTGCTGCAATCCACCTCCGTGTTCCGACTTTTGTCCTTCATTTGTGGCACTCGTCCCGGCTCCTCATTCGCTCCTCGCTGCTAGAAACTCGGCTTCCGTCACCGTAAACTGCCGCAGGTGAGCCCGACTTCCGGATTATTCGGATAAGCTTCGCCTGAAGCGTTCGGACGATGAGAGATTCGCGCGAGTCTTGGCTCGCTTGGCATTCGCAATTGGCACTTGTAACGCGCGTTCCCTCATCATCGCCAAGCGACCGACGATGCTTTAATAATATTTTCACAGCTTTTGATTAATTTGATAATTACGCTGCTTCCCTCGATCGTTGAATCACACTTATTTGATCGCTATTTATGTTAACGAGATGCCAAAATACCGGAATCTGCTCGATCACGAGCTCTATGAGATCACGATATGACGAACATTTTTTATTCAGCCGAGCAAGTTCATCGATCATTATCCTCGTCTCTTCAAGCCTGAAGTAATGTACTTTAACACTTTATCGCACGTTTACTTCGTCTATGCTCTCGCAATTCCAGACAATTTCGACACTTTCAAAATGGCATTTGTATTAAGAAGCTTTAATTCTCAAGTAATTATAGCTTCGCATAGATAGTAAAACTTTTTATACAACTTTCTTTGCGGTTTTGTATTGTCTAATGCGACGGCAACTTGAATGCAATTTCAATTGTCTTTGTCCTTTTTCTTCTCATTCTGAAAATTTACACTCTAGCTACACCGACGATTTACGTGCAAATCGAAACTCTGTATCACGGCAAGTTTCACCAGACCTTTTCTTGATAGAGGATCGACTTCCTTCTTTTTATCAATCACATATGACTATTTTAATTTTCTGCAACAAGCATAAAAAACATTAATAACGACATTACGCAATAGTGCAAAAACAAAATCATCAGCAATTAATAATAATTTGTTGTTGGAACTAGGGCATAATAAATAAATGTACATTCGGTAATGAAATGATAATGGGCAGTGGTGGTTAAATAATGTAGTTTGCAAAGTTAATTTTATCGTATTATTACATTCTGTAGGAGTAGTGTATAAATAATTTGAGAACTCGGATCCGAGCCACTTTTTTTTTTTTTTTATGAAAAGTATTTTAATTGTTATGTATCTTGATCGTTGATTGTGCGAAGTTTAAAAAAAAAAACAGAAAAACAATATCCGACGAGGTGAAAATACTCAATGTGTTCTAAAATAATACATTCTATTATTTCATTTAATTGTGCGTTAATAAACATGAAATATATGGATTTACAATTGTCTTTATTATAAATTTTATCAATGTATTCGTCCAAAGTACTACTCATAATATAATAATATTTACGCGTTAATTAAAAAAAAAAATAAATAAATAAATAAAAAAATCCGTCTGAATTTATCATTAGCAGTAAAATTAATTTTTTTTAGTTTCTTTTTTTTTTATATTTTTTCTTAAATGTAATAGTAATTTCTCCTTGATAATTGGTTTGAATTTTGATTCGATTCCTTGATTAAAAACAAAATAAAATAAATCAATTTTTAAGGGAAGTCATACCTATCTAATAGAAAAAATCAGATTTATTAAATTGTACAATTTCTACCTAATTTGATTTTAATCTGTATGTTGCCAAGGTGTTGCAGGTATTTAATTTTTTTTTTTTTTTTTTTTTTTTTTTTTAATTGAAACGGAATTTATGATAATAAGATTCATTCTCATTAAAAATCTCATTAAATAATTCTCATGTAAACGAGGTGTATAACAAATTTTTATGAAAAAAAGACATCCATATAATATAAAATATCTGTAATTGAATAAATGATCTTTCAGACTATTATTAATTCAATAAGAAATCATTTAAACAGTGAATTAAGGTTAACATAAATTTACGGCTTTATTTAACACGTACCTAACTACTATTAAACTATGAACTAGCAGTTTTGTAAATTTATTTGATTGCGTGCTCGAACGATAGTAATCATTTACATTTTATTACACGTAACCATTTTGCTAAAAAATTTACTTGTCTAGCAATTATGTCGCAGAAACTAACATATGCCAAGTTAATAATGATCTAACGAGCAAGATAGTTAATTAATGACATTGCACTTAATAATATGTCCATTTTCATTTCCCACAAAGTTTATTGAACGTGTAATAAATTTACTTGTAAAATTATACAACTCGCTCTGATTTCGATTTATCATAAACATTCGAGCTACTTCGATCGATCAACGCCATAACATAGAGGACAATCGATACGTCCCACACATGCATGATTATAGCACGATACATAATTATTTTATTAACTCAAATTCATTTTTATCGTATTTCCGGGCCAATGAAAGTACTTTATATAAATATATGAAAATTAATTTATAAACGAGGCTATATTTATTATTATTTCGCGATATGCTTAAGCAATACGAGCAACGCGACAACATTCCACTTATTTCATCTCGTAATTACCTAAACGAACTCCGTTCCACTCATTTTCCAAAGCAAACTCTTTCCTTCATAGCTACATGTCGTCTCCATACTATAATACCTAAATGACAATGACAAACTGGCCAAAGATTATACTTATCGCACGCAGCATAAACAAATGCATAAACAAATACCGGAAGTGCCGGATCCACTCACCGACACATTGTCCCTCGATTAAACGCTCAATCTTTCAAATAACTCATTCGAGTCATGAGTCGGGCAATGAAAAAGGTGAGCTTGAAAAGGGTCGCCCGTGCACACGACCGCGTTGTTTCGCCTAAGCTTCCTCGTAGCTGGACCTCCATCGGCATCACGACCTCGAGAGCGCGAACTCGAGTGATCGCGATACACGACACTTGGCGGCTTCCCCGACGCTGAGACGCATCTCGACGACTGGACCGTCTGTCGCTGCCTGCCGTGATCCTCGGGCTACCCCGTTCGAGAGTCCGTGGTCGGGAGACGCCCGGGCGCATGCGCCTCCTCCACAGGTTGCCGGCGACTCCCGCCCGCCTACCCGTGAATTAATCGGGCCGGGGCGCGCGGGCACAGATCCTTCACCTCTAACAACACCCGGGGAAATTAAATTTCGGAGGCAGTGTCTCGCTGCCGCGAATACCGCTGCTGTCCTCGTACGTATCGACTCGCGTTGAACAGAACAGCCGGAAGTGGCGCAAACGGTGCCCGTTGATCTAAGGTCGAGAGACTTTGCTCAGGATGCGGAGTCAAATGCTACGGCGAAGCTTAAACTTTGGCCAATGAGCTACAAATGACGAACCAATGATCAACAAATTCTGAGATCGTTATGACCGGTTCCGTCCGATGGTCCACGAATCGGTGATCTTACCTCAAAGGTACTTTTGAGTAAATTAGTCGTCGATTAATTACACAATGCTAGGAGAATAGTAGTCTCAGTTCAAATTCCCTCGAGAAATTGGCTCGAGTGTTAGGCATATTCAATCAAGCGATTATTTTTGCGATATCGTGGCTCGTCGTCCGACGTAACTATCGCTGAAATTTTATTATCAGTTACATGGGCGAGTGAGAGCGCAACTTTAGACATTGATTTCTTCAAACAGGAGTAGTCATAAATAAGAAATTGTTGTCAATAGACGAATATTACAATTGAGAAACGGTATTGAGTTGAGGAGGTCAATTCAATTAAAGTCTAATTCAGCGTTCTAATTAATTCTAACAATTAAATGCTTATTTCTTAAAAAGACAAATTCCATTGAAATTTTCCTTGAGCCTCAAATTCATTAATGTCGATAAGTTCATTTCATTCGTTTGAATATTATTATACGAAAATCAATTTATTTTATCAAGATTTTTATCCAAATCATAAAATCATGCCTTCCCCTTAAGAATAGCAATTGCATTATAAGTTTATCACAAATTACATTTGTTCTTATGGTCAAATTTTTTTATCGTCTTATCCATTGATAAAATAAAAAAAAAAAAAAGAATTTTTTTCTCTCATATCTTCATATTCGTCAATACATTGTCTACGTATGACATTGTTAGTTTAACAAGCTAGCGTTTTTCAAATAAATCTATTTTTCTATTTCAAATAAATCCTATATTTAAAAGGTTATATACATAAATTGAGATTTATGAAATTGTAAAATTGTTGAAATACGTTTAGACAATGTTGCTTATGTGTAAACAAATGTAGTTTCATTCCAAGCAGTTATTTAAGATTTTCGTTGTATTATGTTTCGGAAATGTTTCTAGTTTTAAAACTTTATAAGCAAACTTTAACAAATGATTTTCTTTCTTTAATGAAATTTAAAGAACAAATTACTGTAAACGAAAAAATTTTTATTTAATTATACTGCAAAGGAAGACAAATTATGATAGAAAATGTAATTTTTGCATTTGTTGAAAAAGTCAATTTATTTCCTTTAAATTTTTATCGTAAATACACTTATAACAAATACTAGTAATTAACACTTTATTTTTTTATAACCAAAAAAAAAAATTAATTATAGCTGAAATTATTAATGAAATAGTTTGTTAAATGTGTATTATGCAATAATTTCATGGTTTAAGAATTTATTATTCGAGCTTTAATATTTTCAATTCTTTTAACTGTATTGGGGAATGTTTTAGTCAAATTAATATAGCTTATTTACATTTTATTCTTTTCTTATGTAAAGCTATAAAAAGGTTTTCGATTAAATTAAAATTTATCAATATCGTTGCATTGGTAATTATTTTATATGCTCTATTATTGAAAATATAAAACGAAATATTCTTCGATATAAATAAATATTCAATATGCGCTAAAATCATCCATCCATCATAAAGTAAATTTACATTGTATGAAATATATTTTATTACTTAAACTGTAAAGGAATCTTTAATTAAAAAAAAAATGTAAATCGACCATCTTCGTTGAAAGTAAAATTAAATTGAACGAAGTTTGTTCTAGTTTCTAAATTTTTGCTACATCCACACGGATTAAAACTTATCTTTAAATCAAAGTATCTTTTATACTTTTCCTTAGTTTTGTTACAAATTCATCGTATATTACGAGCATAATTTACTATCATCTTT